AACCAGCCAACTGCATAGCCATATAGCTAATATTTTCCCTCCTAATAGAAAGGTACTCTGTGCTGTTCTTCATTCTACAGAGCTCTCTGAAAACTGGCCTTCTAAACAAGAAGTACAATATTGTGCCAAAAAAAAAAAAAAGAACTGCCTATTTGTATTTAAATGAAAAGCTTGGAGGAGACCAAAAGATCATCTGACTAATTAACCACTTTTCAGCAAGGTTCTTCCCACCCTGCCAAGCAGACACAGCACAGCAACATCCAAGTGAAGTATCTGCACAGCAAATTTCTCAAACAAATAGTTCAGCTGATCACAGTAAGAAGGAATACAAATAAACAAAACACTTTCTACTGAGAGCAGAAAACCTGTAACATAAGGAGGGCACAGGACAAGTTCTTAACTGTGAATAAACTTATCCATTTAAGTCCCAAATAAGTTGTGTGATATGGAATCATTTGATTGGACATTCCCATAGAACTGCAAAGCCTCGCAGTGACAACTGCAGTTCTCCTCCTCCTGATTGTTTCATTTGGACAGTTAATAAGCAAGTATCCCTTGACTTACACAGTAACCTACTCTCAGAGGCTCCATATTAACCAATAACACATGCACCTTAAACATAGGAACCTTACATCCACAAAGGTTATATTAATCCAGCCTTGTCTGCAAAGCCACTGCCATTCTCAGCTGCTGCTGGTCACCTCATACTTACGAGAAGGGGCATTTATATTTCTTGAAAGGCTCATGGATCAGCATATGGCGTTTGAGTTTATCTTTTCTGTTGAAAGCTGAGTCGCACACTGAGCACTTGAAAGGCTTTTCCCCTGCACAAGAAAGTAATGTGAAGTAATCAGGCTGAAATTGGTTTAAAGGCTTGAAACATTTCAACAACTGATTTCCTTGCTTGGACACTGCAACAGAAACAGGTGAAGAGCCCTGCTTTCCTAGTGAGTCTTAAAATGTGAACTGCCCTAGATGAGGATCACCAAGAACTGTGTGGCAGACTGGAATGCTTTTAAACTTTTTATTAGTTATAACTGGTAGAAATGATAAGCCACATCAAAAGGTGGTCAGGTATAGGGGAAACACTAAAAACACTTTTAAGTTATGTGCTTGCCTCCTGGCATATGGCTGCATGGGGCAATGTCCTTAGCCCATTATTTGGGATTCCCATTTAGCCACAAAACTTCTCATTTGAACAGCCTTCTACTAATTTTTTTTAAATAAAACAATTTTGCATTTAGCTTTAGAGGATGCAATTCAAAGTAAATGTAACCAATAGAATATTTTGCCATTCTGTTTTTAAGGTTGTGGGTTATTACCTCTAAAATATACCATATCAAATGGTATATTTAAAAAAAACCTGTTTACTATAAAAGCATACATGTGGCCAACACAGAGGATACAAACTTTTACAGTATAAAGAGCCAAAAATAAAAGAGAAGGGTGGAAACTGTGTGAGAGATCAGTGACCCCAAAAGTGATATTAACAAAATCAACCTGGATGCCGTTATTCCAACAGGGGAAAGAAATCTAAGCTACATAGACTAAGGACTGTTAAAAAAGCTGTGAACATCAGTTTCCCTATTTCTAACAGGCTGGATAAAGCTTTGTCCCACTACCTACCTGAATGGATGTGAGCATGTAGTTTGAGGTAGTGTTCTCGGCGGAAGAATTTCTTGCAGATCTGGCACCTGAACTTCCCTCCACCCCCATGTGTAGGGAGGTGTCGTCGTAAGTACCTCTCACAGGGGAACACCTGCAAAGAGGACAGATGCCTAATGGCTAGGTGACCTCAAAAGGCAATAGCTCTTATCCCTTGACAAATGGTGTACATTTTTCTTAAGAAAGCTAACCATGACGCATCTATGCAAAGCAACTCCCACCTGGAAGAGGACTTGACAGATCCTGAAGGGGCCTTTTACACATAACTACATGGGCAGTTCCTGTAGGTTGAACATGGCAGTGAGCTGGGGATCATGTGGCTAAGCTCCTGTGACAGTGCAGATACGAATACTACAGTTGCAGTGATGTACAGTGTGGTTCACACAACATCAGTTGGACACTAAGATTCATGCAACATGTAACTGTGCCAATGGATGGCCCTGGGCAAGTCTCCCAATTTTTCTGCTTAATATCTCTCATACAAACAAGGCTGAAAGAAGGCTGACTGAATAAGAAATAAATAAATAAGAATGACTGGGAACAACAGGTGAGAAAACCATCCCAAATATTTAATCAACTTTATTAAAAATGAGCAACTACCTTCTGACAATGAGGGCAAGGAAAGTTGTGTGTTGCTGTCTGTAAGTGATGTTCCAGGGCTTCTGGTGTGGAATATTTATTTACACATTTAACACATCTGAAGCAGAAGAGAGAAGAAAGGACAGATGGAGTTTGTCTATGGGATACTTTTTTCCACTCCCAAACATTAGATTTGTCAGAAATATTGTCAACGTGGAAAATTAGTCATTTTAAAACCATGGGGGCCATTTCATTATAGTGACCAGAGTGCTGAGTTTGGATATAGTTTATTTAACTTTGAAATTCTGTTTAATTATGAAGCTTTTTGGGTGATCTTCATCTAGTAATTAAGGGATGTGGTGGCACTGCGGGCTAAACCGCAGACGCCTGTGCTGCAGGGTCAGAAGACCAAGCAGTCGTCACATCAAATCCACGCGACAGAGTGAGCGCCCATTGCTTGTCCCAGCTCCTGCCAACCTAGCGGTTCGAAAGCATGCAAATGCAAGTAGATAAATAGGGACCACCTCGATGGGAAGGTAACAGCGTTCCGTGTCTAAGTTGCACTGGCCATGTGACCACGGAAGATTGTCTTTGGACAAACGCTGGCTCTATGGCTTGGAAACGGGGATGAGCACCGCCCCCTAGAGGCAAACACGACTGGACAAAAATTGTCAAGGGGAAACTTTACCTTTACCATCTAGTAATTAAGTTGCTGCCTGCCCTAGAAGAAAAGGTGGGGCTTAGAAATTAACAAATAAATGAGCAAATAAAACCTTTATCCTAATTCTTCATTCCAAATTGTTCAACTGAAGTGCATTTCCCTTAAAAATAACAGAATAATATAGGGCAAAAGGGGGGGCTGTTTTCTCTGTACCCCAACCCTGTAAACATATGAACAAAACTAATTATATTTCGTATGGAAGTTTTAAGAACCCAAATCCAATTTTCTTCATCAAAATGTTCTCCAACCTGTATAGTCAAGGACAATGGCTTAAAAGACACAATGACAAATTAAGAGACCAGATTCTAAAAGAACTTCTCTTCTTCAAATCCAGTGCTGCAACGATGAAGAATGTGACTGAGTGGGGAGGGTCAGGTTGAGTTGAATAACACCTGAACCGAACTTATGGGTTGCTTTTAAACCAGAACCTCAAATTATAGCTTGATCAAATCTGTTGTTACATGCACTGAATGCTACTGGGTAGCATTCAGTGCATGTAAATATTGTCTGGGGATTCTGGCAGTGCAGTTGAAAACAGAAACTTCTCCAAGTTCTGTCTGTCTGTCTGTCTAACCATTCAGTAGTTTCTGAGGGGAAAACCTAAAGGCTCACATCACTTATAGTTTTTATAACTGTACAGTGGTGCCTCACTTCACAACGTTAATTTGTTCCAGCGAAATCGCTGTAGAGCGAAAACGTTGTAAAGCGAAATTAAAAAGCCCATTGAAATGCACTGAAAACCGTTCAGTGCGTTCCAATGGGCTGAATACCTGCTCGTCTAGTGAAGATCCTCCATACGGCGGCCATCTTCGGGTGCCTATAGTGCAAAAAATGCCTCCTAAAAACAGCGGGGAGCCATTTTGAGCAGCCGGCGGCCATTTTGAAAACCCGACAATCAGCTGTTTTGATTGTTGTAATGCGAAGAATCGGTTCCCGAAGCAGGGAACCTATCGTCGCAAAGCGAAAACACCTCATTAAAACATTGTTTTGCGGTCGCAAAAACATCATCGTGAAGCGGATTCATCGTTATACAGGGTAATCGTTAAGCGGGGCATGACTGTATATTAAATCTCTGCCTTGATAATAAGAACATTAACTCTCTCTCAAACATAGATTTTTATTTCCCCTGTAGCTACTGTACTTGTAAACAGCCATGTCCTTCTTGGGACTGTGTTGAGGAAGCAAGCTGTGGGAATACTGGTGGACACCGAGTTCATAGAGGGAGGGGAAGTCTTTGCTGCAGAGATGGCAACGGTAGCTCAACTCCTCCTGGTGGTTCTTGATGTGCTCTAGGAAGGAGTCCAGCTTCTGGAATGTCTGTGCACAGCTTTTCACAACACACTTGTAAACCTGCAACGTTAATGGGGAAGGGAAACTCAAGTGAGTAATCCCAAAACTGTGTGCCATGAAAACAAACTGACCAAAGTGTTTGTACTGTGAAAAATAGCACAGATAATTAAAAGATTTGGTGAGGGCAAAGCACCAGCCTACAAAGGAATCTGCCTGCTCCACCCCAGTATGTTTAATCACCTTGTTTTCCTTCTTACAATCTCTCTCCACTGGTGATAGTCAGTGGCTGAAATCCAATGGGTGATTCAGTGTACAACAGATAATGCCTATAGAGATTTTTTAGTTTACAAAAACAAACACTCTATTCACTCATAGGCATGTGGGTGGTTTGTTGGGAGACATATGGTAATAATGGTGTTCAAGGCATCAAGGATAGAGGGCACAGCTGTGGTAACTCCTTTTCTCTCTTTCATTTCTTTCCTTTTTGTCTTTTCTCGCTCACACACAACATCCCACCCCCTCCTTTGTTTTTCTCCTTCCAATCTCCCCCCACTGCTCAATGGCAGAGGCTCTGAACCAGCTTAAACTTCCATTTGAATTTTCAACTATTCAAGAAGTATAATGTTATAATGACTCTGTTTAGCACAATTTCAGTTAGTGCTCCACATTCTAGAAATGTATCCAGAGTGCTAATTTACAGCAATTTGGTTCCCAAAGTTACGCCTTTTGTGTAACTGCATGTCAGTATTTCAGCCGATGGTTTATTCAGTCATTCCTGATGTTGAAAGGACACAGAAATTATCCTGAGCACTAACTGGGGATTACTGTATTGTCTGCACTGCCTGGCAGTGGCTCACTAGGTTTTCAAGCTGAATTTCTTTCCCACCCTCCCTTGAGAATGTGAAGAACTAAACCTGGAAGCTTTGGGGTTAAAAAAAAAAAGAGCATATGATCTATCACTAGAGATGTAAAATTTCTGAAAATTTCATTTTTTTTCTAAAAAAGAAACTCAGGGGAAAAACTTTTTTTTTCTGGAAAAAATGGAAATTTTGAGAAATTTTACTTCTGTAGAGAGAACTTAAATACATAAAGTCTCATACGTTGTTCATTAAGGCCTTCATGCTATATAGTTTGAATACCACTCCATTCCCCCCCCCAATATTTCTGGGGGGGAAAACCCACAAAAATGGCTTTGGAAAAAAAACTGGTTTTTTTCCACATTTTTTCAGGTTTTTCCCCCAGGCCTCCCCATCTCTATCATGGAGCGTTGGTCTCTCCCAGTGATCTTCTGCCTAATACAATGCATCATGCTGAGGTATTCCTCCACACACTGGTGTTCTTTGAGATGCTCTAAAATAAAATTGGAGGTTGGGGGTGAAAATGTTAATGTCAGCTGTCAGAACACTGAATTAGCCTTGTCTGAGGAGAGGTAATTGTGTTCTCTTAGCATCAGGGATTCAAGAATGATTAAATGATCCACTGCCTACCCAAAGGGCAGGAAGAGGGAAAAGAGGGAAGTTCAGTGATTAAACATGTGGAAATGTAGCAGATAGACTCCTTTTAGATTACTTATTTGGGGCTCACAAAGTTTTAAATTGCTTTCATTAATTTATTTCTCATAGTACTACAGACCTGATCAGTTATTATGTTAGACTTGTGAACAAGACATGTTAGCTCTATAAAGGCACCACAAATTAGTTGTGCATGCACACCAAGTGTGTGATGTCTCAGGCTCCATTTCTAGCATCTCTGACTAAGCAGTGGCAAAGAGCTAATGCTGGTCATTGGAGGTCATACTAAGCTAGACAGACATGTCATAGGCCTGAAGTAATAGGTATACAGTAGTTAGAGTATATGTTTTGAACTCTGCCTAAATTAAGCACTGAGAAAAACCTAGCTTTGTGTTCTGCACATCTGGTCCTATGGATCTATCATTATTCTTCTGTACATCAATGAGAGCAGGAAAAAAACTTATCCAGGGTAAGGTGGATTCTATCCTTTGATTCAACACCCACCTGCTCATGTTTGTGCTGAGTCATGTGTGATTTCAGCTGGAAATATGTGTTGAATTTGTTGGGGCAGAACTGGCACTGGTAAGAATTGTCTATCAAGACCACTTGCTTGGCTTCCATCTTGCTGGCTTCATGGTCTTGCACAGGAGGGATAATTTGAGGCTGTGGAGGACTGCTTCTGGGAGCTGGGTTTAAGCCTACAGGGAAGGATTGGGACATCAAAATATTGAAGCTTCAGCTTACAGTATGTTGGGTGTGTGTGGCTTTTTCAAAGAGGTTATCAAGCAAGGCCAGCCTTGCAAGTCCATACAAGATGCTGTCACTCAAATAAAAACCTCCTAGCTTTCCTTCCAAAATGCAAAACAGTGAAAATTATATTCCCTCTTTCTTCACCTTTCCTTTCCATTTTGTTTAATTGCTTTATCATTGGGAAGTTGCACCTCCATATAATAAATTCTTTCTACATACAAAAGAAATGTTAATGAAAAGAAATCTTGCCTTGTGTTCTGTCTGAAATGGTAGTTTTCCATGTGTAAGCATGTGTTCTTGTGAAGGAGCATTCTATCATATCAGTTCCTGCCTACAGCCCAGTTCTGCTGTCCTTTGTCAGTGAAATAATTAATGGTGAACTAAAGAACTGTAGAGAACAGCAAGATGTTATTCAATGGGAAATTAAGCTTATCATAATTGGCAGCTTAATCAAGTGGCATGAATTGCAGTTTTTCTTCAGCTCTTCCACTGCTGGGGGGGGGGGGGATAAACTAGTGGAAGAATGAATTCTACAAGCCAAAAACTATTCTACAGACAAAGAATTCTACACTGATTTCCAGCACCAGATTATATGACTTTGCAAAATGCCCACAACTGGAATAAGTTACCTCTGGAGTACTAGGAGATGGAAGAAAAAGGAACATGAATAGTGAATACAGATTAGAGAGGTATGGCCAAACAGAATCACCTTAATCTACATATCTGATTCCTACCTTCATTAACTAAGTTGATAGGAAACAAAAATTCTTGCTTCAAGGCTCTATAATCTTATGGACTATATATATATAAAAGATAAACCAAGTGGAATGACAATCATGCAGAAATCTGGCCATCCCTCCAGTAAGTAAAGCACCTGCATTTTCCTCCTCTTGTTGGTTGGGGTTCAGTGCCATAACTTGCACGGTGACAGAGCTCCGAGATATGGTACACCCAATTCCTGGTGGCCACACCTTATGTGTCTGCATGTGCTTCTTCACATTGGACTTTTGAGCAAAGGCCCGGCCACAAACGATACACTGGAATGGCTTCTCCCCTGTGTGACTAAAGGAAAAGAGGACACTACCTTACAAACCAAGAAGAAGAATGTCTCAACAACAAAATATGCTCACTGCTGCTTATTATTAGTGCAACCAACTACACAAAGCTTGAGGAAATTAATTTTTTGCATTACAGCTCCAAGACTCCCTCAGTCAGCATAGCTGTAGTCCAGAAAAGAAACAACTGGCACAAGCTTCATGGCTTCAGTTTACATGATGTGGGCTCAAGTCTGTTTTATAAAGGTTTCTCCTGCCAGGAATGCACAGCAGTCAGAAACCTGATAATGAGCAAGCACGTCCACTTATTTCTGATTTCTACTTGCCATCCTCTTACACTGCAGTTTGTTTGCGGTGGGTCACATAGAAACAGCTACAGACAGTGGGGGGAAAAAACAAATTTGTAAAACAAATAATAAAAGAATACCAGACAGGGAGTTTCCTCTATCTTTAACGAGGCTAACCAGAAGAAAATGTGCGGAAACCAAATACCCATCACTACCCATCAAAAAACAGGCACAGGGGAACCGAGCACACATCCCTATTCAAGGTGCTCCACAACTTAGAATTCTCTTTTTGTTCATTTCATGCTTACTCATTGTGCCTCAGACAGAATTGGAATGCACAGGCTTCATGATTTACTGCAAGAGGATCAAAGTATTGTCTCCCCAAAAGAGGGGCATTCATGATGAAAGAGAATTCAAACCAACATAAATCCCAAGCAGTCATTGGCTTATAAGCAATCTTGGACCACAACTCTCAGCAACTTTTTAAGGCTAAGATTAAGACATCTTATTTTCCAGGCAGTCTCACCAATGTTATATTTTGTCCATCTATACCACTTTAGTTGCTATCTTATATCATATTATTAAAATTATTTTACGGATAATTTTACTAGCTTATGTTACAAGCAATCATTGTCTTTGTTGTCTGGTTTCCTGAAATTTATTGGATGAAAGGTGACACACAAATGGTTTAGGTAAATAAAACACTGGAGACCAGTAACATGAGAGCTGTCCTTGTTTCTCTGTCATCATTTTGAGCACTTACATTCTATGTTTTGTATTTTTAAAAACAAAACATGCAATTACAGGGATGCTTCCTAATGTTAAAAGCATGAAGAGCACTCATGGATTCTCTGAATGAATGAAAAAGTAGCCATTTCCATATCCCCAGCATCTGATGGATTTTCTTTATGGTTTATTAACCCACAAGCAGTATGCTCCAATGTTGCTTGCAGTTATGTTTAGACCAAATACATGGAACAAACAATCATCAGGGAACATATCATGCTGCTATGTTATTAGAGGCAAGTAGATCTCTGAGCGCTCTGTGCCTAGATAAGAAACTGCCTATAGAAGCTATTCTGAGGTCAGCACACCCCTTCTGACATAGCCTGGAAAAGTTACTTATTTGGATTATAGCTCCCAGCATAGCCAGTACACAAAGATGCAAGAGAACTCTCACAGCTAAAAAAAACTGTTCAGAAAAGAGGGAAGTGGAACTAGGGAAAAAATGAAATTGTATGAGTCCAGTGGGAAGCAAATTGGAAACCTAGCCTGTTCAGAAAAGAGGGAAGTGGAACTAGGAAAAAATTAAATTGTATGAGTCCAGAGGGAAGCTACCGTATTTTTTGCTCCATAAGACGCACTTCCCCCCCCCAAAAAAAGTGGGGGGGGAAGTCTGTGCATCTTATGGAGTGAAGATGGCGATTTTGCCCCCACTGGCCCTTGCGGTGCTCTCTGTGGGGGGAAGCCTCCCAAGGGTCTCAGTGAACCTTCCAGGACCCTTGCGGGGCTCCCCACCCCACCCCCACGGGGCCAGCGGGGTCGGAATTGCCAGCTTCCAGGACCTTTTGAGCCTTTCAAGCCTCACAAAAGGTCCTGGAAGCTGGCTATTTCACCAGCGCTGGCCCGGTGGGGGGGTGGGGCAGCGTCGCAAGGGTCCGAGTGAGCCTTCCAGGACCCTTGTGATGTTCCCACCCACCCCCACGGGGCCAGCGCGGGCGAAATCGCCACCTTCTGAGGCTTGGGAAGCTTTAGAAGAGTCCCAGAAGGTGGTGATTTAGCCCCCTCTGATCCCGGGGGGGGGCAGGATGAGCATCCAAAGGGCCCTGGAACACACCCTAGGACCCTTTGGAGGCTCCCCCCACCCCCCCATGGGGCCAGAGTTGGCTAGGGTGTGTTCCATAAGATGGACCTCTCCGTAAGGCTCACCAAATTTTTAGGAGAAGAAAACAGATTAATTTTTCCCTGTTTTCTTCTCCTAAAAATTTGTTCCGTGTTATGGAGCGAAAAATACGGTATTTGGCCAAAGATGCTGTTATTAGTTGTTTGGATGCTAAAAAGGGAGTGAAACAAGTCCATCAGCAGGTTCACTGATGTCTACTTAGGACAGCTACTAAAAGGGCTGATCTGGAAGGCTTACAATAGATCTGGGCCTAAAAGCTGGAGCAGTCCCTTCTCTCATAAACACATACCACAAGCAGAGATCAGAGTTAAACATTCGAGACACACTAGTAGAGATCCAGCTAGTAGAGATGGCTTCAATTTTCAAAGCCTAAGCCAGCTAATAGGTATAGGTCCACTGAAAGCATAATTGTACAGCAGTTGCTAGGGAACGCTGGAAGGAGGTACACTTGCCTCTCCCTCTAAAGACATACTTGGCCCCTGTGTAAACTGGCGAGGCCCTTGCTCCTCTTATAAGCTCTCCTTATGTTGCCCTTGCTCTTTCGAACTAGCCATGACCTCTGTGCTCATTGAAGAAACTCAACATTACCTCCTGATATGCTGCTGAAGGTCAAAATTCTTGGTAAAGGCCTTATCACAATAGGTACATTTCAGTTTTGGTGACTTAGGTTTCCCTGAAAAACAAGCAGCAGGAAACAAAAATGAGCTCATGTCAAGGAAGCCTCTATCACTGACTCTTACTCTCTCTGTTCAGCCAGTAGCAATATTTCAATTCCTTTCTCACCATAAGAATACCAAATTGATTCCTAAATGGGTTGTTCAGACACTGTCAGGCAATCTTGTTCCCTGTACCTCTCTGTATCGCATAAAGTATTTGTAAAGGGATACAGTAGTTATAGGCGATGAAGTATTCCTGGGTCTAAACTTAACTCAGCCAGTAGAAAAACTGCGACCACATCCAACTTAGCCTAGGCCAGAAAAATCCCATAATGTCCCTAGGCTCTAAGGAAACAAGGGATTAAATCAAGTTGCCTTTGTACCAAAAATCTATAACCAGTGGCAAGTAACCCAAAGGAAGCTACCAAATTCCGTCCAGGGGCTATCTGAAGTCAGCATCTCAAAACTTACATTGAAGTGGGGATGTTAACAAGGAGCAGGGAAGTAGAAGAGCACAAAATTACTCAGCAGAGTAACAGATGGGAAATTGTAAATAAGCATAAAATAAGAATACTGTACTAAGTTCTTAGTGGATACATACATATCAGCAGATACATACCCAAACAGGAAACAAAAGCATTCTATTCCATAAAATGTGAGGTAAGCCAACTTCAAGTACAGGGGTGCCTCGCAAGATGATGTTAATCTGTTCCGTGGAAATCGCTGTCTTGCGAAAACATCGTCTTGCGAAACCAAATTTCTCACAGGAATGCATTGAAAATTAATTAACGCGTTCCTAGGGGGAAATTTTTTTAAAAGGAACTTAAGGGGTAGGGGGCTGGGAAGCACCATGGGAGGACTGGCGGGGAGTCTCCTCCCCACGATTGCCAGCTTTGGAGGTCCCCCGCCAGTCCTCTAATGGTGCAGGAAAAGCCTCTGAAGTGCTCTAAAGCGGGCGCCGGTGGTTTCAGGGCACCCCCGCCAGGGCTCTGACAGTGCAGGAAAAGCCTCCAAAGTGCTCTAAAATGGGTGCGGGTGATTGTAGAGCAAAAAAGCCCCATTGGATCAATCGTTTTGTGATCTCTAAAGCGATCGCAAAAAAACCATCATAAAGCGATTTCGTCGTCAAGCAGGGTAATCATCTAGCGAGGCACCACTGTATAAAGAAAGTTGGATGGCACCATCTCAAAGGAAATCATCTGGGAGACTGGCACAAGGCCAGGGTTACTTTTATTCTCCAATGCTTTTAATCAAACCAACCAGAATCATCTAGAAGCTGTGAGCACTTGGCATACAGGCCAGCTATTCAGATACCTCCTCCTGAGGGCAGTTTCTTCTCTATTCAAAAAGAATCCAGTGCTGACCACTGAGGTCGAAAGCTAGAAATAAGACAGATGTTTCCAGTCATAGATTTTTTTTGCCCCAGTAATAGAGGAAAGCAGCTAGGACCAGCCAGCCAGAATCAGCATAAGGTGCAAAATACAAGAAGCAACTTAAACCAGAAAATTAGAAAAATCCAAAATTCACAATATTACTTTGTTGCTTACATACACATGTGGAAATGCCCAAGCTCTCAATAAAAGATCAGCTGGCACATCTCAATTCAGCTGAACAACCCAAAAACTTTATTTCAGGTGTTATGGAGGTGTGTAGAAATGGAGCCATAAAGCGAACAACATACATTTAAAAATAAATAAGTTCTTGGGACATTCTGTTCCCCAAACTGAATTGAGTCCAGGCAGGCATATTAGGGATCACATTCCAGGAGCAGACATTGTCACATCCTAAGATGGCTAGGCCACTACACTACTGACAAATCTGATATCCACTCATACACATAATGCAACCTTCTGTGTTCTTAAAAATATACCACTGACACTAATAAAGGATTTTGAAAAATGTGACTGCAGTGGAGGGTGATTTTTCAAAATGTGCACAGGCAGCAATAGGGATATAAGGTTTAGCCATTCCTTCTGCAGTAGCAAAATTTCCTGTTATTGCTTGAGGCTTGTGCAAAGCCCACGTGACATGTGTGAGGAAATTTCTGACCATTCAATAAAGAGGTTTTGCAGCTGAGGAGGGGAAGAATAGGCAGACTAGAAAAGCAACCCATGTGGGCCATATCAGTTTCCTTATCCCTGATGTAGGCCATTCACAGATTCCACAGCAGCCTTCTGTTCCATGCATCATCCATAAAATCACAGCAAAAACTGCTAACAATCTTACCTTCTAGCAGGGTGCTATCTGTTTTAGAACGACGGTTCTTGCATGTTGAATCAAAATTGGTCACACTTCCTGCACAGGTATTGTTCAAGGAAGCGGGAGTGTGGGGGCTTTTAGACTTAAAACCTTGTTTGCCTGGACTATATACTGGAGGAGTAGGATACACTGGGCTTTCCACACATTGGGAGGGCACCTAAAATATAAATTATTAGTGAAAGCATGCCTGAAAATGTCGTCTTAGTGAAAGCATTCCTGATAATGTTCTAGGAACAGCAGCAGCATTTCAGAACAGATTTCAAGGTTGTACACATCCAATGTTTGGCTAAAGCCAGACCTAATTTGAAACACATCCTTATCCAGAACCATGAAAGATCATCCTGTTGCACCAGGGTGGAAAAAACTGGTTCTTATATTCTATTAAAAGTTATGTTAAAAGACTGAGAAACTGAAAGAAAATCAACAATCTGCTACTTTAAGGATGTTACCTGCTGAATACTAAATGTTTAGTGAAGTTCATATGAGTTACAGCTAACATCTATTTGCAACAAATTACACAATTCACATATTCTGTCTGGCACTGCAATGCTGCAGTATGGATTATATTTACATTTTCCCATGTAAAATAGGACAAAATTGGTCACAGAGGTGTGCTAAATGAAGTATCCAGCATAGTACATGTGTATAAGATTGCACTGATAATGATTTTAGCCCCTTGATTTCAGGAGATGTGCTATATAAAACTCCAAATGCCCTTTTAAAATACAAATACGTAAGACATCAGAAATTTGAGGCTCTTGAGGTAAATGGGGGGATGTAAACCAAATAAATTATCTGTTTAAAATGAGAGTATGATTATGAAAAGAACCTTTGCCTAAATTAAAGAAAATATACAATACACTATGTCACAAAGTCCTTTCCATGTTTTTCATTGTAACCCTGCTTCATCTTAGGAATGCACTGTCCAAAAACAGGCAAAACTTGCCACTGTTCTATGCTATATGTAACATAACAAGGCTTTCTTACAATACACTATGTCACAAAGTCCTTTCCATGTTTTTCATTGTAACCCTGCTTCATCTCAGGAATGCACTGTTCAAAAACAGGCAAAACTTGCCACTGTTCTATGCTATATGTAACATAAAAAAGCTTTCTTCATCTACAAGGTTTCTCCCACACTTTCATATTCCTCCTGACTAACAGTTTATGTCACAACATCAATTCTATTTCTGAAAACAGATCCAGCACAGGGAGCTCTTCAGGACAAACTCTGAAAAAATGATAAATGGATGTTTTGGCTCTTTTGAATTACAAAGCTAGAAAACAATCTTATATTCCAAATAAGCTTCTACTCTTTGTCTTTGCTTTGTTTCTCTATAATTTCTCCTCTTGGTAGCTTTCTAAACAAAGCCTCCTCCTGGTTTAGTTCTGGTATTCTAGTACTTGTAGATAGGTACATCATAGTCCCCTTTAACTATATTTAGCTCAGCAACATGTATTACTATAATAACCTCTCTTCATCAGTCAGTACTTTTAGGCTATTAATTCTCCTTGTTGCTTCAGTTCCCTGAGGTCAGTTCACACCTTTCACATCATCAGAGAATATCTTCACTGAACAACAATATATCTTGCTGTGGGCACCACTGTACTTTGTTAAATAGTGTTTCAATTATCAGTGAATCAGATGTGGAACATTTCACTGTGTACATCTAATTCACTCATCATCAAAATTCTATTTTGTTGGAAGTGGAAAGACCACACACTCATCAGAAAGGAAGGAATAAGGAGGTTTAGAGCCACCCTGCACTACTGAACTTCAAACTCATTTTTACCTCCATTGGTGGGTAGGGTTGCATTCCAAGATTCTGTATCTCTACTGTACCATTCCCAGCCATGGAAGTTGGTGTACTATACACTTCCACTACTCCACCATTACCAGAGCTGGCCTGACCTGGTGCTCCCAGAGGAGGAGGTGGAGGAGGTGGTGGCTGCGGTGGAGGTGGAGGTGGTGGAGGTGGAGGCTGAGAGAGATATCCAGCTCCAGCATGCATATTCAGGCTGCTCTAAAAAGACCAAATGCGAAATTAGCAAAGTGTGAGTTCATTTGTACACAAAAATCAAATATGTGAAAAACGAAGCGCCTAGTAGCCCCCTGAATGCTAAAAAGTATAGCTATTATAAGCATTCATGGACTACGACCGACTTCCTCAGCACATGGAAACACACCGACGCTTGCATTCACATTGAATTCTGTTGGCATGTGGTAGAATAAGTCTATCTATAGTGATGTGTGCAAACAGGCCTGCTGGAATCACACTAGCACCATTTTAATAATTTTGGGTTGTCTTCTTTACCATTTCAGAAAGACAGCTACGATACATTAATCTACTACATCAAAAGTCCAAGAAAGATTTCTGTGCATCATATGGACCCCAGCCAAAAAATGCTTACACCAAATGTACAGTGGTGCCTCACACAACGATGTTAATTGGTTCCAAAAAAAATCAACGTTGTGTGAAACATCGTTCTGTGAAACACCATTTCCCATAGGAATGCATTGAAAACCGGTTAATCCGTTCCAATTGGAACGGATTGCCATCGCTGAGTGAAAATCCCCATAGGAAACATCGCTGTGTGAAACAATGTTTCCTCCATTGGAATGTATTGAAGCCGACTCAATACATTTCAATGGCTTTGCGAAGTCCTTTTTCGCTCCTGTAAAAGTGTCTTACAATGTTTGGAAGCTGTTTTAAATGATTGCAATGGTTAGCCCACCTCCTGAAACCTAAGCAAACTGATTTTGGTGTTGTTCTGACACTTCGTTAATTTATGATGATTTTTTGTTTT